GCGCAACGAATCCGTGTCGCGGATCTCCCCGCGGGATCGAGATTACCCGGTGGTTCGGCTTCGGCTCGCTTCAATCCAGGTCGGGATGAACATCGTCGGCTGCGAAATCTTGACGCGCGAATCTGCCTCTATCACGGGACCGAACAATGAGACAAAGATATGCATGCCTACGGATGAGTCGAAATCCGTTGGACCACCGGATCTCTTTGTGTGAAAACAGAGCGCTATAATACATCGCGCGATATCACCGGTTCAGTCAGCGCGAGTCGTTGCGATTGTAAAATTAATCGATGTACGGTAGAGGAACGATAATAATCGCGTGTAACTCGCGTAGGCTCGCCTCGTACCTGTGTTGAACGTTAGAGCGCGTTATAAATACGATTGTAGGTTGCTTGTTTAAAAATACAGATTATTGATAGCTTCTTATCGATAACCGTTTGTCAGGTCTCGAAATAGATTATAAATGGCTTACGAATGTCAACGGCTGTAGAAAAAGGCTTTCGTGCGCGCTATTAATAAAAATGTGTAGTTTGCAGGTTCATACAGGTGCACTTGTATGTGTCTTTGGCACATGGATTAGAAACTTTGTCACCTTCGAACTGACAATTTTCACTGACAATTGTCTCTGATTATGTCATTATTTGTCTCTGATATTATTGTATAAAGTTTCGCGTAAAATTTTCCAAAGAGACACGCTGTGTCATATCAATGTAGCGCACCGCAAATTGTTTGCAACGAGTTTTGATTTGGATTTGGGATTGAAAGAAAAAAGAAATCTATTCCAGAACAAGATATACTTTTTTTTATCTTATCTGTTTTTAACCTCTCAAAAATATTTTACTTTACAGAGTCACGTTTCCTTTGAACCTATCGTATCGACCGATACGAATTCATTAATGATATTAACTCTGGAGAACGTACTTTATCCTACTTCATCCTCCGCCTGCGTGAACTTCACATAAGCATCTTCCAACTCTTTCAGTTTGTCATCTTGCAGTCTGCCAACGCTTGCCTCTTTTCAACAAAAGCATCACCGCTTTTCATATATTTTTTCCAACGCTTCCCTCGCCCTTCCTACCCCCCCCTCTCTCACCCTCTCTCTCTCTCTCTCTCTCTCTCTCTTTGTCTCTCTCTCTCTCTCTCTCTCTCTCTCTCTCTCTCTCTCTCTCCCCCCCTCTCTCTCTCTCTCTCTCCCCCTCTCTCTCTCTCTCTCTCTCTCTCTCTCTCTCTCTGTCTCTTTCTATTTCTTTCTCTTTGTTGCTCTCGTCGTGGTTTTCGCTCTCGCTCTTTCGTTTTCTCTCCATGTGAACGTGCTTCTTTTTATTTCTTGCATACTTGTCTTCTTCTAACCCGTCAGCCGCTCTATCCTATCCCCCTGTGTCTATCTTGGTAATTTTCTCGTTTCCTCGCCCTGATTTTCCCGCTCGTGCTCGAGATGCATCACCCACAGCGTTGGATTTTAATTACATATTTTTTCGCGTACCTCTCTCTCTCTCTCTCTCTCTCTCTCTCTCTCGACATTCGCAGCAACGACTACGAGAGCTCTGAGGAACGAGAACGCGAATATTGCGAGATTTTAAGCGACTCGACGATCGTGCCTGCCAACATAGACATCTCGATCGAAAATAGCGGTGTTTTATGCTAATCTCGGTGTCACGAAAGACTCTTTGTATGTCCTGAACTAGATCCTGAATGATACGCATGGTTAGTGTTAAAGAGTTAAACACAAAATGTAAATAGAATCATATCGATATCAACAATCATTGATCAATTTTCTGCGAATCCGATATTCTCCCTCGTTAGAGAAGGAACATGCTATTTTGCAAGGAATTACTCTGATGTAATAATAATAATAATAATACGTTGCAATTTTTGCAACAATAATATTAACGACAAGTAGTAGCGTAAATAGACAAGCAGCGAACTAGTACGTAGGTCGATAAAAGTCGATATTATTGAGGAAAAACCGTCCGCAGCGACATGTTGTATTTTATCCTCGTGCTCGTTTCGACTTCTGATTATATTCTATTGTCCATATCCTACATCTTGAATGCTATTCAAGATTAATCTCAATATTCTCGTCTACCTATAATCTATATCTATATCGTGCCGTTTCCCATGTAGTCGACACACTTCCAAGTTAAGAGTTTCACCGAGACAAAGAGCATATATAATCATCATCGTCGTCGTCGTCGTCGTCGACAATCCTCATTTGATTCCTTTAATATTGTAGTCGAGGAAGCACAATGGTATCGTGCCACGCCGGATCAATCTTATTAAACTCCAAGTTTTACCGTAATTCTACATGTTACATTGATATTGTGTTATTACACTAACATATCGAATACAATCCCAATGTTCGTCTACGTTCTTTAAACTTGATTACTGGCTTCTTCAGTGAGATCGAATCAAAGTGATAAAAAGTTGAGTTATATTTGTATAAAACGCTACCCCTCGCCGCGCCGCCTCGCCGCAACGGTGCAGCGGCGCGTTTTTATAACTTAATAACACATTTCGTGTTGCGTACACACGGAAGCAATCCGGTGGCGCGGGTTATAAATTACAGCGGGAAACTTTGGCGGGAAGAATATCGGTGGCGCACGTAAAACTAAACAAACCTTTCATGAGGATCCTAATGACACGTAACGAAAGCGGTTGACACGAACTATGCTCGAAGTTGAAAACGCGAGGGCGTAGTTCTCGTGTAAACGCGGAAGAAACGTGGAGAAATGCAGGGGGAGGAGTCGATATTCTCCCGACGACGGAATGTATACGGAAATTAATTATACCAAAACTTCGAGCCCCTCGATAGGTCTCACAATGGGTTTTACGAACGACAATGACCCGTGAAATATGAAGACCGCACTCTTCCCTCCTCTCGGTCATCTCTCGACGACATTTCTCTCTCTCTCTCTCTCTCCCTCTCTCTCTCTCTCTCTCTCTCTCTTTCTCTCTCTCTCTCTCCCTCTCTCTCTCTGTCTCTCTGTCTCTCTCGCTCTTTCTATATTTGTGCATTGCGTCTTCGCTGAGATCTGTAAAAACAGAGACTTCAGACTTTGAAGAATTGTTTGTCCGCCATTAATGCGTTCTCGGCAATAACACGTGCTCGAGAACCGCGATTAACATGCGGCAAAGATAACGTCGTTACCAATAATACTTGCGAAAGAGCGTCGATTTATCGTCTGGTTATGTTTGACCACACCACCAGTCACCACACACGACACACGTCAAAGCGAATCGCGATGTTTACCGTCATTTGTTCGCCGATCGATCGTGGTGCGCGTTTCCATCGGAAGACCGTATCCCTCCATATCCCGTCATACGCTCGCGAAATTCGTCGTTTCTCCTAGGTTCCCCGTCCTTCGTCGACCGTTACCGACGTGGCCCTTGACGCGCAACCCTGACAAATTATCAGCTGTTATCCTCACAATGGACGACACTAGGCTGCACAAGTATTATCGGACATCCGGACACGGCTCAAATTCGCTGGTCAGAAACGATCAGGCAGATCGATCAGGTTGGAGACGAAAATGGAGAGCTTCAATTTTTCACTCGAGTCTCTCGATATGTGTTTCAGATGTATTGGTTTCTCACCACAGATTACAGCCTGAAACGTTTCTTCAACTTGAATGCTTACTGCGGAACGGTGACGTTTGTTACATTTGTCCTCGCCGTGATTATGGCCGTCTGTTCGGTAGCAGTGAGTTGAGTGCTAAGAGTAGGAGTAGGAGTCGCATTCATAGAATCACGAAAGTAGAAAGCTCCGTTCTTACGCTTCGCTTTCATTAGTGGCTCGTTATAGCCCCTCTTAACATTAGCTCCGGGTGTGAAATTGACTAGCTGAAAACTAGCCGAAAGATGGATGGAAGATAAAAGATATCTGAGAGGATTAGACTTATTAGCCGTGTATAGATATCCGCGAGAAACTTATTCGTTGATTAATTCCCTCTGCACCGGCGAGCCGCAAAGTTTCTCACTCAATAACTCGCTCGCGGCAGAGAAAATTCAAGTGAGCCTATTATTCTGGCAATTGATTTCACGGCATTCACGATGCCGTATACGATTCTCCGTAAACGGTAATTAAAACATTGGCAAACCAGTGGCAATAATTAATTATCTTCATCAAATTCAATGCGATAATATTATTTCGGCATGTAATTAATCAAGATACAACGGACTGTCGAAATCGAAGCGGGAAATTACCGATATATATATATATATATATATATTCCACGTTACTTCCGCGGCGCGTCTCGCGAGATACGAGTTTAAATACGTAATACTCGCTGTTACCGCGCGAAAGAATACAAGTCACGTATCCTCCGAAAACCTTGCAGCGCCGCTGAACTCTCTTGCCAGCTTAAAGAAAATGTAAACAACTTTGCGAGATAGTCACTCGAATACCGATGTTCTCGCGCACGTGCCATTGTAACAAATATAATCCTTACAAACGCGCGAAGGAGTATACCGAGTATCTTCGATTCCGAGCGGGGGATTTTCGAGTACGCGCGTGCGCTCGCGCTCGATGGAATATCTGTTGTAATCCTTACCGAGGCACGAGCGACATTCGAAAACTGCGCTTTCGAATTTCAAGTACAAGTCGCTTGCAAACTGAGTATCTTCTTTTTCCTTTTTTTGTTTCTTCTCTCTTGACTTTTTGTTCTTTGGAATAAAATCAAAATTTATTCATGGGTAGGACGAATCTGAGAGATAGATAGAGAGAGAGGGAGGGAGAGGGGGAGAGAGAGAGAGAGAGAGAGAGAGAGAGAGAGAGAGAGAGAGAGAACGCTCTTGATAATCTTTGTCGAAATCTTTGCGGATGTTGGCTGTTTACAATGATATTAGACAGATTAGAGGCAGATAACGAGAATACTAGAATATCGAATATGATCTGTAAAAGCTCATTTAATACATGAGGAAGATTGAATTTAGCTTCTTTAATACACCGCTGATTTTTCTGTCAAATAATGAAATCTTTATCCCCGTGTTAGAGTTTGCACATGGTGGTGTCGAACGACACGCTCTTTCGTGAATTGCTCGAAAAAGCGGAAAAGGTAAGTTGGTGTCTCGGTCTCGGCAATCACAGCCAGATTGAAGTTTGATCGGGGGGTTAGAGCGATATTAAAGCGCGCTTTGTGCCGAACACCGCGCGGGACGCTGACTACCAATAATTTATAGAAGTTACCGCGGATGGAGAGCGTCGTTAGCATCATACCGCCGTACAAATGTGTTCACAAGCATGTAAGTTTATCGTTAGTTATTTAAAGTCCGCGAGAGTAAGAGAAAAAGAGAGAAAGAGAGAAAGAGAGAGAGAAAGAGAGAAAGAGAGAAAGAGGAAAAGCGCGTGATGGACAGTATTTACACAGAGAATACACAGGTATATGTGTGTCTTTGACGATAATTCTAATGTTCAGCTGCAGCGTATGAGCGTGTTTCAAGAGAAAACGAAGAAAATGGTGAGTATAGTCAATGGAGGAAAGATCTCCATAATTTTTTTCCTTTCTTCTCTTTTACTTTTTCAATGACTTTCGCGCGACGCATTACTATCCGATAGAAGGGCTTATCTTTCTTAATAATTCTTAGAAGATACGTCCTTCTGTTGAATACCGCGTGTGTTCCGAAGGTAAAAATATCGCTAACCTTTCCGCCATTGACTGTATCTTTGCACTTGCACTGTATTGGCCCGCCGGTCGACCGTTTTCTCACTTCGACTTCCGGATTATATTTGGCTGTCAGCTGTGCAAGGAGCATCTGGAGCTGGAAATAATGAACAGTAAAATGTCTTGCATCGAGAAGCTATTGAAGCCGGAGGTAAATTATTCAACGTGTTAAATAACAAACTGTCCCGCGTGGTCGTTACTCGTAAATGAGAAACCTCAAGACTTGGACGGGGGGCGGTGGGGTGGGGGGGGGGATGGGGGGAGCTACGCGTAAATCCTTTGTCGCGTTTTAATTCAACGCCAACGGATACAAATCATCGGGCCGTGACCTACTTGCGGCCCTATTCAGAATTTACGCGCGATCATCGACCTTAAATAATTTAATAGCCCGCGGCTAAGTGAGTACGATGGTGCTCGCGGGGATTACTTGTACAAAGGGTTACGATAAACCGTGTCGATCGCGAACTCGCTTTTAATTAAAATTTCCTCGCCGCCGAAGAATGAGGGATTTAATAAAACGCATTTATGCGATTTTCCGCGTATGCGCGCCGGATATTGTTGCGGCAGAAAGAGAAGCCCCGTTGCTCTCTCTCTCTCTCTCTCTCTCTCTCTCTCTCTCTCTCTCTCTCTCTCTCTCCTCTCTCTCTCTCTCTCTCTCTCTCTCTCTCTCTCTCTCTCTCTCCGCACTCTAACTTATTTTTCTCTCTTCTCTCTCTCTCTCTCTCTCTCTCTCTCTCTCTCTCTCTCTCTCTCTCTCTCTCTCTCTCTCTCTCCGCAGGAGCAATTTGAATGGCGTCGATTCAAATCACCAAAGGTGTATCATCGTTCTATCAACGCGGAAACAACGAAATAATGACTAACGACGTCGAGGAGGACGATAGAAAACGAGCGTGTATAAGTTTCATGAAATCCCATTGTCAATTTTATAATTAGCAGTGTTGGCGTTAGCAGTTGATGTAAATGTAATAATAGTATAGCCTGATGTCATATTTAACAACAGGGAGTATAAACATCATCTCATGACACACAGTGAGGTGTTTATACGTTTATGTACGCTCTCATCAACTGTAAGCGTTTAATAATGACTGTAATTTGATAAACAACACGAAATTAAATTGAATCTATTAAATTTATTTTCACTCGCGCGTTCATTACGAGTACGAGACGCAAGTCGTAACGCAATATACGCAATACAACTACGCGCGTACAAAACTAACACAGCGTTTTGTGAGTTATATAAACTATTAAAAATATTTCCACGCGGGATTTGAAAAAAAAGAAGAAAAAATGTAAACAAGAGCGCTCGCTACCATGAGTGACATGACGTTATTGATTGTACATTCTTATTCAAACTCGCGTAGTTTCGGTATGATCATATGTGAGACAGCATAAATTGTGACCTGCTAAACACCTGCTTTTTGATTGAACTGTGCGTCCAATATAAGTACATGATTCATGCACAGACATTTCGTCCTTTGCCGAATTGACGAATGACACAGAACGCCGAAACTCTTATTCTTCTTAAAATTCATCGATAAAGAAAAAAGCGACAAAAACAACCTTTTTGAGGTTGAGGTAGACACGAACGACAAGCGCTTGTGCGTTTTGTAAAAAGTGAATGCCGTAACGTCGCATTCCGTTCCGCTCCTCTCTATCTTTCGGTTAGCTTCGACATTCACTTCCCAATATAGATATCTATAATTAATTTTATCTTTGGAGAGAATTCATTGTTATGGGTATGAGTAGCATTATCATCTTACGCCAAGACGATGTATCCATTTGATTGTTCGGGATTATATTGAGATATTGAGTAAGTCATATCGACGATACGTCATCGACGAAAATCTATATTACCAAGCGCGCAAAAATGGCTACCCACTGGAATTAACTGTAGACGTTTCCTAGCCAGGGGAATACAAAAGTCCTCATTTCTCTCGGCATTGCCCGAAACTCTGTTTCACTCGACACACATCTTTGCTGGTAAAAGCAGAATAAAGTTATCAGACATTATTCTCCTTAGTGAGCTGAGAGAGAGAGAGAGAGAGAGAGAGAGAGAGAGAGAGAGAGAGAGAGAGAGAGAGGGGGAGGGAGGGACAGAAAGGAATAATATCGTCTTTATGTTTAAGCAAACTCATTGGGAAGTGAGATTTATTCGAGCGACTCTCAAGATTATAAAGTTGCTTGTTGATACATATATTAGGTTGTGCAATAAGAGCCGTTGCAAACGCAACATTGTCGTTTAAAGGCAAGGTTTGCTGCGAGTACAAAACTGTTATTCAAGTCAGAAATAACGAAAAATAATAATTCAGCATTATTACAATCTGGCAAACTTGGACGTTTATCGTCTAAAGAGAGAATCACGTGCTCGTATCGCATGCAACTGTTGCGTAATATCGCGCGCCGCGCTTACGCAACGATGTATTATCGACGTATGTAATCGCCGATAGCTTCGATCGCAGTAAATCTACGTTGCATAAAAATAAAAGAAGAAAAGAAGAAGAAGGAGGAGGGAGAGAAAGAAAAATCGATTTCCATCGACCCACGATGTAAAGTTCGTTCGATACGGAGAGACCAAAATAACCCGCCCGGTTACATGTACAAATATTCTGCACTTTTTCGTCCTCGCTTCGAGATTATTTAATTCAAATAGATTAATCTGAAAGTCAGACTCGCGTGGAGTTTCCAGAAAATGTATACATTTACATGGAGAAAGCCGAGAATAAGCGACGAGAGAGAAGATTCCAATATTGAAGAGCCACAGGATTTTCAAGAGACTCTCCCTGGACATTTTTACGCAAATCTAATTTAATATACCATGTGCGTGTGTATACATAATATTTTAAATTTCACGTCCTTTCGAGAGAAATTCGATGCCATGCAGCAACTACCTATGTAACAAGCGTGAAAAATCAATACGATGAAATATCCAGCGACTGAATTTACGTACAATCGGCAATCGTTCGAGTAACATTTAAACAAATATTAAACAAATTCGACAGAGTTTATACCCCGCTCGTGTTCTCATCCCTGATTCGAAAGTCGACTCACCCCGTGCGCGCGCGCGCGCGCGCACGAGGTCGTACCCTCCTGCTTTCCTCACTTACGCGCTTACGGATGTCGCCAGCAGTGCGCCGGGCCGGACTACCACGAGACCGTCTATCTCCACTGTGCGCTCCACTATGCCAGCCTGCCGGCAACGGGGGGTGGTGCACTGGCACAGAAATTGAACCGCAGCGGCTACGTGGTACGTACGAGAACAGGGTCTTTGCTCCCGTTTAATATTTTAGCCAGTCCATTGGCTGCCGCTCGAGGCATCGACATGCGCTCTGACTTGTGGCGACTCCTCTTTCTCGCTCCGCACCGAACGGACACCGGCTCGGCACGGCCGAGGCTTTCGCACGCCTCGTTACAACAGGCCGGACTTTCAGCTCCGGGGGTAATCCAACGAATGCGCTACGCGGCCCGATATCGATATGGCGATGAGACGATGGATCGATCTTCCGCCGCCGCCGCCGCCGCCGCCGCCGCCGCTCGCGCGCTCGGCCTGTTTACTCGGCCATCGATTCCCGCCGCGCCGCGCCGTGTCAGCGGCCGCCTACGGTTCGGAAAGTGTTGCATTCCGACCGATCCCGAGAATGGCTTTCGAAAGAGCCTCGTTATAAATGGCGAATGGGGCGAATCGTTACCGTATCGTTAAATTCGGATTTTTCATCCCGTCCGATTTTTGAACACGCGAAACACGTTTAGACAGACAGACAGATGGAGAGAGAGAGAGAGAGAGAGAGAGAGAGAGAGAGAGAGAGGAAAAGAGGAGAAAAAGGCCTTTTTAATTCCCAATCCGTCCGACAAGATGAAGCGGAAACGTTAATTTCAATGTCCACTGCAACAGTGGTCCTTCATCGAACGTTTTCTTAGATTCTCGCGACCGCGACGTCGTTCTTTCTCTCCTCTTCTTTTTTAATACAAAGTTGTCAGACGCAGGAGTAAAATAGCTCCATTTAATGGTACTAGAAACTACGTTCGGGGGACGGGGACGGGGACGGGGACGGGGAGTTTGATGTTTTAAAGTTATGATGTATGGAGTCATGTTGATGTTTGTGGGAACGAACGCAAGGGGAATATTCCACGTTTGCTTGATGTAATGTTGATGAATGGATAATATTCATCCCGGAGTTTAGAACTGACCCCTTAAAGCTAATTCTTCCGTGCGAAATAAACCCGGGCGCCCCGTAGATCATGCGTTAACATCTCGCGCGTGAAATATTTATCAAAATGCACGTCTTAATGCGAGACAGCGGCTCGCAATAAATATTCATTTGCCCGACGAATACTCCGCGGTATCAGGTGTATTCATCTCGAATATATGATCCCCGAAGAAGATCGACGAATCCCGGAAAAAAATTTCCTTCTACCCTCTGTCTCGCGTGCGATTTTAAAATTCGGTTAGAAGGCGACCTACCGTACTCCTCACGATGTACGTACCACGATGTCCGGATTTTTAAGCCTCGTGAAATGGCAACCCTAGTGTTGGCGTTGGGGAATCGGGTATAAAGTAGCTTCTATATCTCCCGTACACTACGTGGTCACTGAACCGTGCGCGTGGGGAATTTTTAAAGTAGAAGAAACCTTACATGAGAGCGTACGCCGCGCCGCGCCGCGCCGCGCCGCGCCGCGCGTAACCGAGCTTGGAAGTATAATTCGCGTGTGCGCTCTAAAGTCGCATGTCCGCTATAGTTAACTGTATCTATCTCAGATAGATGTGTAGAGACACGGAGCCGGCTGGCAGAGGGATTTAATAAATAACCAGATGATAAATGAGACGGCGCTAGAATAAAACCAGAATAGATCGAGAGAAGTGGATGGAGGGGCTATTTTACATGACGTGTGTGCCTCTGCGCGTTTACGTGTGTGTGTGTGTGTGTGTGTGTGTGTGTGTACTGTCCGCTAAAGTTGAAATTGAAATTTGAGAATGACGAGAGAGTGAAATCGATCTATTTTGGCATTTCTAACGCGCGCAATCCGGCTTCGTTTCTTTCGCCGCTTATCAACTATGATCAGTAAAGCCCTATACATGCGGATCGGCATTTTGTGCCGACTGGCATAGATCGATTGACACGTATTCAGTAACAGGCACTACCCAATGAGCTTGTTGATCGGCAAAGCCGATTATAACCGAGGCGCTTTAAGGCCAAACCAATCGCGCAAATTATGCGCGCGAACTGGCGCTTTGGCTGCCT